ACTGTCCTTTGATCGATTCATGGTCAGTTTCGCTTGAAAAAACATCACACTGACAGTTCGCCTACTTATAAGAGCGTGGCATTGCTCGAATACGCGCAGCATATTCATGGTTTGTAGTGCCTGGATGTAATTTGCAGCGCCAAGCCAAACATTCAATCTGTTTGTGCACCTCATTTGACTCAATTTGGAAAACCAGTCTGAGGTATGGGTCCCCAGAAACGTCCGTCAGCTGAGAGCCATTCCGAGCCAAGGGGCTGCCCGACTTCGAGTCTGACGGCCAGCCCTCCATAAGCCGCAGAAGTTCCGAGGCCGATGCACTCAGCGTGAAGATGTCGAGGTTCCAGCCCTCAAAAGATTGTATTTATTTGCCCTTGCCTTGACCAAGCGAAATATGTGCTGAACCGTTTTCGCGAGGATGTCCATCTCCTGAGTTTCGACATGCATAGTTCTCATCGACATCCACCTGCTGAGATTTTGTGGTGAATGTCAACCCTGGATAATGTTTCCTCCCAGGCACTTGGCTCCTCGCCGAAGGCCATGTTTTCACCCCTCATTGCTGCTGGGCATGATCAAATTTCAGCAAATCAACTGAAGTTATGTGACGTAAAGCCCTGTGCAGTTTCATCTTGGAACCATATGGTTCATATGATCGACAACACCGTGACAAAGTTTGTGCTTGTTGAGGTTTGAGAGTTGCCAAGTTGCCCCCAATTCGGTAGGATCTTACATGATGGTGGATCCTGGCACATGTTCGTCAAAATTGTACCCTGGAAGGAAATTTGACGCCATATTTTTGCGCTGAGATTGACAGTCGAACATTTGCCATGTAAGTTTTGGCCATGTACAGCAGACTTCAGAATTTCATATGTGGTGGAATCAAACATGTCAAACGGGATGCCTAAGTGTCTAATCCTGAGCACCTAAGAAACACTACCTAATAACAATTTGATTATGTATTTATATATATATATGTTTACAAGTTGAAAAACCGCATGTCGGACAATTGTGAATGCAGGTTCCTTTTGTTTTTTAAGTTGCACCCTTTGATTTCTACCGGTAAAATGATGTAAAATGCTCCCAATACTATGTTGGTGGACTCTCTTTTATTAGGTACCCACCCGCTAGAATCACCACCTATCGTGCCCCTCACCAGCGACACGGCGCATTTACACTCGCATGTGCACCCTTCCCCAATGTCACGGAGCAACACAAACGCACTTTCCACGGAGGCCTCGACAAACCGCATGGCACGGCGACATCACCTTTCAAAATCTTTTGTTGCTAGCTTGATAGAAAGTTTACATGTAGGTGCATCGAAGAACTCCTATTTTAATGAAAAGTGTTGTACAATGCTGTAAAGAGTTTTAAGTAAGACCCCGTCTTTGTGGGTCCCCCTATTTGTGGGAACATCTTTTCTTAAACGACACGGGAGTTTCTTACTAGGGCCTTAGGGGGAAAAAAGAGGTGGAAATAACTTTTTTGTGTACGTGCGTGATTCGTGCATGCGATGCACGGGACAGATTGTTGACATGTTTGGTTCAACCGAAGACCAAGCTATGCACGCTTTGTGGAACTGAGGCCCAGCTGAATCCCTTCCAGCCACCCCAGATGGACCTGCCGGAGCCAGGTGGGGAATCAGGTACTTGGCAGTAGGATGGAAGGTGGTAGAGTCTAGTTTAAAGACAACCTGAAAGGAGTCATGAGGTGTCAGGAGTGATGAAATCAAATACAAAATGGATAATCCTAAGACAGCGCTTTTTTGTCATGCCAATGTTTGTACCTTTCCTTAGTTTTTCGAGCGCCTTTCGGAGACTGGCCCTACAAGCTTCATCAGGCACATAGGACCCGCGTAGCTGCAGGGCCCAAATGTGGGACAATGTGGCGGTTACAGTAAATGAAAACACATACATATGAGTCCATTTCAGGACCGGGATATTCAACGGTGCTTTTGCCCTTCAGGCGACCCAGCCCCTGGAGATGAGGCGGAGCTGTCCAAAAGGGGTCATTCAGGTCTACCAACACAAACAATAGAGTAGGCTGAAATATGTTGAGAGTTTATCAGAGGATTCTTCTTTCTGCGTGCGTTTGCAACCTGCAGTGGATATGCAAGCAATCCAAACAATCCAAACAGTGGAGTGTGGCCTGAACATTGTTTGGATGAGGTGGAGGCACAGAAGTTGTTTGGATTTTTTCTCACGGAAGGTTCCATGCGAGTCCTTTGTATCCACTGGCTTTGCAGGAGGGCACTGGCAATGCAGAATCGCAGGCAAGACTTAGGGCGCCAGCAGTGGCACATTAGGGCACATGTTATTTAGCGCGGGCCCAAATACCATTCAAGGTAGAGCACATCCTCCGCTAAAGTGGCAGGTGTCGGTATTGTGTGTGTAGCTCTACGATCGCAATCCACGGAACTTGAGAAGGGGAGTACTGTACATGAAATGACTCGCTGACCCAGGGTGGAGCAAAACCCACTATAGCGTTTGCGGGTGGCTGGTTCCTCTAATGTAAAGGAGCTGGACTTCCTTACATACTTACATGGGTGACGCATGCGATGCACGAAAGCTGGCCGTTGGTAAAGGGAGACACTCTAGCCACTCTTACTTTGCACTTGATTGTTATCCTCTTGGAACTTGTGTGCTCATTTGTATGTTCACCAAGTCACTAAAAATATCACCTCACCTCAGCTCACATCTCCAGGAAGCCAGTGTGGCCCAGTTAGTGGAAGAGGCAAGCCGGATTTTTCTGCAGTTTAGCGGGGTGGTGAAATGTGCACATGCTGGACGGTTTACGTTGTTCTTTGGAACCATGAAGTCATAATGGTCGAGCTTCAAGCAGTGAGCCTTCATGGATCAAATGCATAGATCCTTGGCTAATCACAGGTCAGAACAATGTAACCAAGTTGATGGATTTGAACCACCCGAACCAGCAACACTCGTGCACAAAACAAAACAAGATGGAACCCACGAACCCGAATGCAAACACGTACTCGAAAACAAACACCCAAACAGTTTTTGACACTCTTGTGGGACACTCTTGTAGGACACATTCTTTTCAGACACCTTTGTGGGACACTCTTGTGCACTCTTGTGGGATACCTTGTATGACGCTCACTCTTGTAGGACACTCTTGCGAAACACTCTTTTAGGACTGGGACACTCTTGTGTGACACTCTCGTAGGACACTCTTGTCGGACACTGTTGTGTGTCACTCTTGTGGGGGACTCTTGTAGGACAGTCTTGCGAAGCAGTCTTGTAGGACACTCTTGCGGGACACTCTTGTGGGACATCCTTGCAGGACACTCTTGTAGGACACTTTTGTGAGGCACTTTTGTAGGACACTCTTGTTGAACACTCTTGCGGGGCACTCTTGCGGGAGTCTCTTGTAGGACACTCTTCTGGGACACTCTTGTATGACACTCACTCCTGCGGGGCACTCTTGCGGAGCACTCTTGTAGGACACTCTTGCGAAACACTCTTGTGGGACACTCTTGTGTGTCGCTCTTGTGAGACACTCTCCTAGGACACTCTTGTGGGGCACTCTTGTTGGGCAGTGGGGAAGCTTTTGGAGAGGGTTTTGCATGGAAGCGTGACGTGTCAGATTCGTGTGAAATAGCGAAGAAACGTGTGGAAACATAAGATGTTGATGTTGAAGTGTGGAGGATGATTTCACTGCGCAGACGCAGCGTTTTGTGAGGTTTCAGTGTTCTGCGTAGTCACATTGGAATTAGCGTTTGGCGAGTGGTGTTTTTGGAGTGTTGGATGTGTCTGTGACATTGGGATTTGCGTTTGAGAGTGTTGCATCGAAGCTGTGCTTTCATGACAGTCTCAGCTCAAATGGTGACTTTGGTGGATGGGAGTGTGCTCAAAACGTGTCGAAATCATTCCAAACATGTGGTGTCTGCGGTGCAAATTTTGTTGAAGCTCACATGATATGATATTGTCACTTTTCGTGGCAGGCGCAGTACTTTGTGGTGGTTTTGAGGTGTGGAAGTGCGATTTTCATGGCAGGCGCAGTACTTTGTGCGCGTTAGACGTGTGGACGAAGTTTTCGTGGCAGGCGCAGGGAATCGTGAGGTTGCGAGTTGTGGTGGAGGTGAATGTCGCTGTGACATTGGGATTGGCGTGTGCGCGGGTGTTGTTTGGAGGGGCTGGAATCGCAAAACTGCTTGGCAGGGCTGCTTGATGTGTGTGCTCCGATGGAGCTTGCCGCTTGACTTTTGGAGGAAGTCTCATACGAAATGCTCGTTTTGGAGACTTTGACATGTAACTTTTGGAGGAGGTCTCGTACGAAACGCTCGTTTCTGAGACTTGACGTGTGACTTTTGGAGGAAGTCTCGTACGAAACGCTCATTCTGCAGACGTGAGGTTGACTTTTGCAGACTTTAGTAGTCCCCCACAGAGCCCCCAAGAGTGTCCTACAGAGTTCCACAAGAGTGTCCCACAAGAGTGTCCCACAAGAGTGTCCGACAAGAGTTTCTTACAAGAGTGTCAAGAGTGTCCCACAAGAATGTCCCACAAGAGCGCGTGTCCCGCAAGAGTGTCCTACGAGAGTGTCCCGCAAGAGTGACACACAAGAGTGTCCCACAAAAGTGACATACAAGAGTGTCCTGTGAGGGGGGTCCGCAGTGTCCGACAAGACGGTCCTACAAGAGTTTCCTAGAGAGTGTCCTACAAGACTGTTCGGAAAGAGTGTTCCACAAGAGTGCCCAAGAGTGTCCCACAAGAGAGTCCTCCAAGAGTGTTGCGCAAGAGGGCCCACAAGAGTGCGCGACAAGACCAATGGCAGCGCCTTAGCGCCCTACCGCGAACGGCGGCAAACGGTTGCGGACGGTTGCGAACCCTGAGACAACGAGTCGCGAACAAGGCTCTACCCCCAGACTCACACCCCAGAGTTAAACCAGTAACGAGAACCCTTCGCTACGCATTCGGGAAAAAGACAGGTTGATTCAAAATATCATAAAGTGGAGGCATGTTTATCTGGTTGAATCCATTCGATGCCAGATGGGCGACTTAGTCTGCCGACTTCAGCAGCGGCAGGACTGTGACCGCACCACTAGAACGAGGGGGTCAATGGCGGAGGGAAAGGTTGAAGATTAGGCATCGAACTCGCAATTTAGCTGCATGCATCAGATACCTGCGGCAGCTGCGTGCTCGGGGGGTTCAGCTTCAAAGAACCTCGGCGAAGGCTATGTTTTTAGGTTGGGAAGTCTCTCCCCACCTCTTGAGAAACTCTATTTTAACTTGTCATTCTACAAGACAATTGTCATTTCAAGATGTTCCAGCTGGGTTTCTTCTACATTTATACTTCTCCAACATCCTATAGTTGAAAAAATGAAGATGCTGGTGGATGGAGAAGGTCACCAGCAATAACTATCTAGTTCAAGCTTTGTTGTTCAAAGTTTGAGTTCTTGGTCGAACGCTTCGCAAACAGTATTCCACACACTGAATGGGGTGCTGACACACTACCGGGTTCACCCCCACAGCTGATAGATGATTTCTCTGAGGACACAAAAGGCTTGTTTTGGACACCCGCTATATTACCCAAATTGCCTCCCAATTTCTTTCAACACATTCCACTACCATTTGCCTCAACACAATGTTGATATCATCCGTCCCTTCCACCTCACTTCCCAGGAACTTCAGATTGTCTCAGAGGAGGTTCGGCCAGAGGCGAGGCGTTGCGCGCGCGGCTGAAGAGGAAACCCAGTTAAGATCCATAAAGTGTGTGGACCATCCAACCAAATTGGTATTTGGCCTTTGCAGTTTTTTGCAGTCGACGACATGCGGTGATCACCCTCAGCATAGCAAGGCAAGCACTGGTCCTAATGTGCAACTTGATTGTGTTTTGGAAGTTGCACAGCCTTCGTGAGGTAAGTTGTTGGATTCTCCAACCAAAGGGATTGATTGAATATTTCCGTCTAGACTGATGGATCCAAATTGCGCCCTCCCTACTTTGCAGCCTTGGTTGATCAAGCTAGTCAATGCCGTGGGTATGTGTGCATTCTTGAGTGGCTTCTATTGTGAGTTTCCCTGCCATTGCCCTGACTGTTTACAGTATGTACATATCATATAAGCTAATTATCCCGGCAAGAGTCAAGAGACCCCAAACAGTGCAAAGTTCGAAAGGACGAGTCCGAGGTAGAGCACCCACCATCACAGGGGAAGAGAAAGTAGATGAGAAAGTCGTCCGAGGTAAAGCGCCCACGATCACAGGGGAAGAGAAAGTAGAGGGAAAAGGATATGAGAGCGCAATTGCAAAACATATGACTTCAGGCGAAAAAGAGCATGCAAGTTGAAATTGCCAAAAAGAACGAAACAATCTCTACTTCTAGAGGCCTAGAAACAACATTCTCTAGGCGACAGAGGTTGAGAGGTCGGGAAAGCGATCCAAGTAGAGATTGAGAGAGAGAGAGAGAGATCTGCCTAGGGGCCTAGATCCAGGCAGTTAGTTGTAGAGGTCTCTAGGTCTAGAGGTCTACAAATTTAGAAAGCGAGAGAACGATCTGAAGGTCTAAAGAGATCAAAGGAATTAAGAGATCTAGGCCGAGTGCTTCGGAAGCAACAATAAAAGTCTCAAGGGTAGAGTTGCGAGGTCTGGAGATCTAGAGGTCGAGGTCTACAGAGCATACATATGAGAGCACAATCATCAGAACATATCTGAGAGCACACGTCAGATGGCACAGAATGCGATCTAGAGGTCTTGAGATCAAGAGCGTCGAGGTGCACAAAGTGCTGCGCCTGCCAGGAAATCTGCACTTCGAGGTTCACAAAGACTTGTGCCTGCCACGAAATCTGCGCTTCGAGGTTCACAAAGTGCTGCGCCTGCCACGAAATCTCCACTTCAAGGTCCACAAAGTACTGCACCTGCTATGAAATGTGCATTTCAAGGTCCACAAAGCACTGCACCTGCCACGATTCCTGAAAACGAGCCACATGTCCAAAAGTCACGATGCACTGCACTTGTCAAGAAATCAGAGCGCCTCGAAGATTACCACCATGCCCAAAGTGCTGCGCCTGGCACGCAATCTACACATCGAAGTAAAACCGCTCCGATCCCTTGCACCTGTCACGAAAGGCCGACTTTGGATCTCCAAAGCACGAGGATTCCCTTGCGCCTGCCACGACAAGTGGCCACCATGTCCGAAAGTCGCCACAAGCACCCGCCGTGGACAACCAGATTTTGCGAGCCTGCCCAATCGAAGTGCACCTCGAGGATTTCGAGAGGAATGAATGCACGGTAAATAGCAACGAATTATTAGCCACAGGCCCCGTTGCACGATCTCGACTCAACACCGGCCCTTAACTACTACTGTACCATAAGAAACCCTAGCGTTGCCACACTGCTTGGGGAAAAAAGGTGACGTAGTTCAGTAAAAGCATCAGCGCTTCTGGGCCACCAAACCAGCTGTCCCACTTCCACGCCCGAGACACCGTTCCTTACAAAAATACACTGTGTGGATGAAGAATTGGACATCCGGACCTTTCAAATCCTTTCAACCTTTTGGGGCTCCCTTTGCTTGATCCGGATTTCTGATGATATACCCTGGGCAGCTGCGTGGTCCAGCCTGTTGCTCAGGAGCTCTTCCGAAGGCTCGAACTCTTCCGGGACTTTGCTGAGGGCTTAGCCCGGCACCTAGCAGCTAGCAGGCCTAGGGCCAGTCAGCTGGGGCTGTGTTGGAATTTACATTCAAAAATTCGAAAGAACTTGGGGTAGTTTCCTTGAAGATCAAGAGAGGCTAGAGTCAAACGGCCCTGGTTTGGTTGTGCCTCAAGATATATATAGAGGAGCAGAACCACTGGGCAGAGGAAATTTGAACCACAACCCATTCGCTGTTTATCCCCATTCGGTGGAGATGCACTGGCTCTCCTCCAACGGCATTTATTCATATTTGAACTTGGGTCGGTTCAGGATGCCCTTAAATTCAGCTAGTTTGCTACTAGCTTTAGTTCAGTTGCATCTTGGCCCGAGCGATCTGCCAGAAGGCTTGGAAGCGCTGACATGTTTTGTTTGGGCCCTGCACGTGGTTTGTGAAGCTGTGAAGCTGCAGATGCTGCGTCCCTAGGCACAGGAATGGGTCAAGCAAAATCCGGAGGGAATGGGCGAAGGGGCGCCCTTTTTCAACATTTACATGTTGTATGAACTTGCGTTCTTGGTGATTCTGATTTCTGCACTAAGTAAACGCAGGCCTTGCCCGAGACCCCAAATTGTCCAAAACCTTTGCGTGGATGTGGTCTCAAGCCTTGGCAAACTGTGACTTTGAAAAAACCTTAGGCAAAATATAGATCCATATTGACTTGACCTCAATCACGTGGGCGGCAGGGGAAACTTTGAAGCCATCATCACTTCATCGAGGAACACCTTCCAGTGCAAGCAGATGTTCACGCGGAATATGGTTCTTGCATATATACAAATAAATATATATAATCATCAATTAAATCATGTTAAATCCATGCTTCCATTGCCAGGGTTCATGTTAGTCTTCGAGGATCTAGACTTGCGCTTCATTGATGTGACCTAGGTATTTATGCCTTCCTCAGCCTCGCATCTTTGATTCCGGAGAGTCACAGCGCCCGCACGCGCGAGCTACACAATTCGGCTACCGCCATGGAGAACGGCCAAAGGCGTGGTACTTCGAGTGGAATGACACAAGGATGCCGAAAGGACAAGACTTGCGATGTCTATTACTATGACGCTCGGCTGATTGGGTTCCAGAGTGTTGATCATCCACAAATTTATGGGGATTGGGCATTTAGGAATCATCATGGCAATGGTCTATGATATATGTCACACAGCTGGTACGTATATAAATGCAGTTACTAGAAGGTAATAGAAGTGCACCAAGCTCAGTCTTGCAAATTCCAAACAGCGGCGTGGATTGTTTGCCGACAAGAGCCCGACAATTTGTGCTGCCAAAGCTTGAATGAGCAAAACATGTGCAATAGTACTTTAAAAGAATTTGAAAGACACACTTTACATCACTTTACGAGGATATGGGATATGCTGCTATGTATCTTGTTGGTCCACGAGGACTTGGAAGAATATATTTGGAACGGGTGGGGCGCAGACTTTATAAGAATGGCCGTTCTTTCCTTCCGGCGATCCCGACCCCACGCCATGCCTCTTTTGAGGATACAGTCACGATTCCCAGTGTTTCGGAGATCACCGAGCTCAATGAGAAGCTACAGGAGATCCATGAGAATACGCTCGGCACCAACCTCACTCAAGCAGAAGGCTTCATTCTTAGGAACTGGGGGACACGACATGGCTGCGGCCTCGGGAGCGGGCAAGCTATTGCAAGTGTGGTTGATGGAGGTGGTGAGCCCTCAACTTGATTGGCATTGCAACAGCGACAACGCACCCCGCACACGCAAATCCAATGATTGTTTGCAAATCTTCCCGCAACCACCACGACAAATGGGCTGTTTTCTCATAGGTTTGGGTTCATGGGGTTGCCGATTTGAATACGTTCTTCATGATGGGCCCGCGACCTTGCCAGCAAGTTCCCACTCCTCTCTTATGTAGACCACTGGAGCTTGGACACCTGATGCTGTTCATCGGAACACCACCAAAGCACAACCCCGACGACAAAAAACCTTTGTTTCAGAATTGGGTTCACGGTGTCGGAAGACCTGGTATGTCCAGGTACCTTTTGTCGGGCAATCGTTGCGGTGGTATTCTCCTACTCCTCTTTGAACAAGGTTTTCAGCACTCAATTCCTCGAAGCCTGGCCAAGCCCAAGCTCGATTGTTTCTTAGCAATCCAATACGACTCATGATGAGAAAGTAATCCTTCATGGAAAATAGCATTCCTGAACACTGCCAAGAGTACTTACAGTAGTCTAACGGACACGGTCAATCATTTTAGTGGGAATCAACGTCCTCCAACAACAGGCCACCGAAGCGTTTGACCAGTGGCAGGACCTCTTTGCGATTGGCGATGTTGGCATATGGGCGAAATGATGGCAAGGGCTTGTCATATCATGAGTTAAGGGGAACAGAAAAGCAGGTCTCTATGCTTGAGCTGCAGTTCACGAGCTTTCGCCACAAGTTCCGGAGACCCGGAGAGCAGTTGGATGAAGCTGTTCGTCGCCAGCCCTGTGTCAGTCAAACCCTGGTGCTAGCAAAGCAAACAAGCTATTCATATCTATTCATTGATATTGTTTGTTGGGGCTGTGCTTGGGTGTGGAATTTGATTTGTATGACTTTACCCAGGTTTAGGCGAAGTTTGTCCTGAAGCTTCTAGAAAGGGGTGAGTGGAGAGCAAAAGACTTTGTATGACCTTTATATGACCTCTATTTGCAAAACAAGTTCTGCGCCGCTTGGAACTCTTTGTAGAACGGCAGATCAATGTAGTCACCTACATTGTTTGCCTGAGGTGGTGCAGGTTCACTTCCTTCAGTGGTATGGTTATCAGTACTTTGTTGGTCCATGAGTATGCTCAAGGAATACAATATATAGAATAAATAGCAGGTTCGCCACCGGCAAACATGCAGATCCAGCTCCTCTTCACCACCTCACACCTGGTTTGACACATTTGCAACTTCAGCGTGTGTAGCGAGGAACTCAAAGCATCCCAAAGCACGCCTTCACAGTAGAGCCTGTCAGGACGGATGACGCAGCCCACCTGGTGGCATATCTCTTCAAGGTGCAAGGGCCCAAAGGGCCTGGGGTTGGCATCGTGTTGAGCTACAAAGGCTCCACGAACTTAGCTGATTGGACTCTCGGCTCTCGGTGTTGAGATTCAGATATGGCTCCTGTCACTACTTGACAATAGTTGAGTCTTGATTGAAGATGGACGGGCAGGGAGTCGCAAAATCATGCAGAATCTATCTTGGCAACATATCATAAGCCTAGGTAAGGATAAAGGCTGTCCAAATGAGCAGGTGGTGGCCACTGTGGGAGAGCCTTTCGCGGTGAATGCTTAAACTGTTGCTCTTCACCAAAAATATATACCATGTAGGGGGCCCTGATTGTTGGCGTCTAGGGTGTTTGGACAATAGTGGCAGCTTGCCCTGGCGGCAGCCATGGTTCGCTGGAATGGTTACAGTACCTGCCTATATTTGGCGACTTGCGATTTTACAGAAAAGTGCAGTAGCCAAAGCTGGGCATGCTGACACGCTGTTTGGAGCCTGTTGCTTTGAATTTGTTGAGCTGCAGTTGGAGGTAACATATTTGCAGCATAGCTGGCACAGGACCTAACAGAAACTGATCGGAACATTAACTCACATGGCAATGTTTGCTGTCTCTGCAGGTATGGCAATGGCGTATTTTATGGTTTTGACGATTGCATGTTACCATGTCTCCGCCGCGAAATGCTTAGCCAACAAAAACCGGGCGCACATGTTTTTTGGTGAATCCCCCGGTTGCCTGTTGTTGATCTATCCAACAGAACATGCTGAGAAGCGGTACTGTAGAGGTGAAGCGGAGCCGCTGACATTAACCTCCGCTGGGCCGAGGAAAGCCAACATGGGCACCTTGCCCAGATCCATGTTTCCCACGAGCCCGGAGTTGAAAGACGATGAAATGAAAGCCAACAAGGGCCAGAACAAGATAACCAGCAAAAAACTATGGATGATGGCATTGAATCATTTTAGGGGTGATCTTCCTGTTGAAGGTATCGAAAGAGCTTAAAAACGTCTGGACATTTCTGTCTTCCGCTAAGGGCACTTGGTATCATCAGTTTGTTGAGTTATATAAAGGAAGTGAAGATCAAAATGACCATGCGTGAACCATAATCCTGCCAAAATGTGGAGATGAAGGAGCTCTGCATGAGGCATGCTGCCTAGCTCGTACCAGTAGAGTTAAAGTCAGATTTGTACCTGTGGGTCAGAGCGATGTTAGGGAGTTTGCAGGAGCTGCAGTCATCTAGATTTCCTTGTGGGACTGCAAGCTCACGTAGGCCCAAGAAAGCACGGAAATATAATAGTTCATTCTTGACCATTTGTGGATGTTCCATACTGCTTTGAGCACCGGCCTGCACTTGCTAGCATTGGCGCTGTACCAGGATGTGAAGGTCCATCGGGGCTTTTTGGCACACAAGCGGCGCCTGGACGCGCGAATGTCTGCTGCACCGATGGCTCCGTTGAAGACAACGCTGGCGGGGAGTGGAGACCGGCACTGCCACCAAGCAGCAAAGACTGGTGGGGTTGCTGGGAGGATGTATTTGTTCCCCAATCAGAAATGGATGTGTCTCAAAAAATGGGATGCCTTGAAGCAATGGACTTATGCGTGGTTATTCTCACGCTGGTCCTGTTGGGTATGTTTGCCAACCTGCCAGGATGTTGAGGGGGTGTTTGGGAATGTTGGGGGTATCGCATTTTGAGACAAGTTCAAGACTACTGGTAGATGTTGGTTCATGCATGCAGGATTCACTCTTGGGTACAGGGTTTGGATCCGAATTTTTGTGAAATATACAAGTATGGCTTGCATCTGTGAGTCTTTGAAAGCTTTTGTTCCTGTTTCTGCAAAGCCTGGGGTCCTAGGCCAGGTCAAGCCTTGTGGGGCGTGCATTGTGCCTGGCCAAACATCAACGCGACAAGCTTTTGTTGCACTAGTTTGCACAGCACGCTGGAAACTACCTTCTTTGTCTCTTATGTTTGTTAGGCTTACCATCTAAGGACTCCTCCCATCTCAAGACCCCGCAAACACCAGGTGCCCTCAATTGTTTCGCATGATCCTCCAACATCTGTCAAGTACTGACAGGAGCTTTTGACCACGAAAGTTGCGCGGCTAAGTCCACGGACTTTCCTGGTGGCTGTGGCTTCTTTTCTTCCCTTTTCCCTCCTTTTCCCCTCCTTTTCGTTCAATCTCGCAATATCCTTGACTTATTGTCAATCTTTTGTCTCGTGGGATAAAATTGGGGCCATCGATCCTCGAAAAGCCAGGAGAGCTTCCGGGATTTCTTGCTCGCTGGCCATTGGTCCTGGCTCTTGACTGTGGGTCACAGCCTGGGCGGCGCCATGGCAGCTATCAGCGGCCTGGAACTGGCAGTGCACACCTCCCATGCTGGACAACAGAAACAGGTGCATGTGGTGGGTGTGGATGCCTGGTGAAGGATGGGCGGCTAAGGGAGAGAGATGGGAAGGTGAGAGGTTGAGTGATGGAGTTGCATGGTGGGTGCAAGGGGGGGAAGGGGATCTTTTTTGTGTGATGTCCTTCACCTTTTAATATTCAATTCAAAGTCTAGAGGGCTTAAGATTTTCTCATGTCTTGTTCCATGACTAGTACCCAAGGAAGGTGGCTGGCCCACCAGTTCTGGGAAGGACCCCTCATCTTAACCCGTGAGTCTCCAAGTAAGTCTCCTTCACAAGTGCCAGCTCTGATCATCTCCGCCAGCCAGGAAGTTTTCCGACTCCATGGACCGCTTCATCACACCCAAGGGTGGTTTGCGCATCGCCAACCGATCGCAACCATCGTGTCCGATCGTGCCGTGAGTCGTTAGATTCGGTGTTTCTAATTCAATGAGAACATCCACAAGTCCACAGGTGTTTGTGTCGCATTTTTTCTTATCGGGGCTTCGTCACCCTCTTGAAAACTCTTGTGTTTGAGAATCGCTCCTTGTGCTGAGCCCTGATCTATGAAAACTGGCCTTGGCAAAGATGGCACTAGGTGGTAGTGGCACAATCAAGATGGCAATCTTCTTTGTTTGGACCTCCCCTTCTGCTGGATTCGCCCAGTCTTCACTAGGCAGAATTGAGTGGGTATTGAAACAGCAAGATGCTTTGGCACGATCACTGGTCAGAGCAGAAAGTTGACGAGTTCACTCTGACATGATGTGGCCGAAAGCTGCAGATTCAGAAACAAATGCAGCGATAGATCCGATAGATTCGACATGATTCGACTCAGACAAGTAGTATATGTTCACGTATGGAACCATACTGACCAAGGCCAACGATGGAGATGTCGTCCCCTTTGTGGCTACGGACTGGCTTGGCTCTGGCGTTCCGCGCGTGTGATGCATGGCTATGAGTGGATCTTCCCACACTTGGCCCGAAAACGGTTCAAGAAGCTCTTTGGCCAGCACAGGGCATGCACAAACAATCTATGTGAGGAGCATTGGCTTTCATGTCATTGACCCCGAAAGCAGCCAAGAAAGTCATGTAAACGCATACTGTTCCAAAGTAATAGTGTCTTTTACAAACGAAACAATAACGGATGAATGTGTCATGAAGCAGTGGGTGTGCACTGGTGGCCATTTTGGCTACAAGTCCATGTGGCCCCCCATTGGCTCAAGTCCATGTGGCCCCCCCACGTTTTTAAGTGCGTCATGGACGTGGAGGCCATGGATGATGCCCCCGAGGAGGGGGATGGCGCGGGGGTGCACATGGAGATCAACGAGCCCCTCGGTGAGCTGGCTATGAGGGTCTGGGAGGTGGAGGCGATGAGGAGAGCTGACAGGATCGGAAGATCTGGCTCCCCGACAGAAGTGTGCTCCTTGTACTCCTCAGAGGCCCACGAGGAGGAGACGGAAGACATCAGCCCCTCGCCAAGGTTGAAGAGGATGATAGATGGAACTCAGGCCGGGCCATCGAAAGCGGTCCCCACCTTCGAGGAGAAGGCGATCGATTGGGACGAGTATGGCATGATCCCGAATGAGCAGCACAAGCTGAAGAAGTTTGTCCCCGAGCACTTGAAGATGCCTTGGGAAAGAGGATTCGCAGGCGCGGTCTTGAACCAGAAAGTTGAGATTCTCCCCCTTGAGAGCCTGAAAGAAAGTACGAGAAGTGCCAAGTCGATGAAGGTCGAAGTGGAGCCGGCAGCGCAGTCACAAGAGCCACCCAAGATCAAGCCAAGCTTCGCCTTCAAGGAGAGTGGAAGGATGCCATGGGACCGTGCCCAAGCTGAGGCGGGCAGGCACTCGAGAGCAAGAAGTATGATTGAGGCGGATGGTGAGGAGGTGCTCGACGACATCTTTGCAAAGAAGAAGAATGGCACCTTGCAAGTGCGGCTGAGCGAGCTAAGGGGTACAAACCATTCCCGTTGCAGGAGGAGTTGCGCTACGAGTACGTCGATCAGCTGAGAAGAGATGGGGCTCCGGCGACCCGAGCAAGTAGTTTCCGGAGCGCACTGGCATTCTGCAAAGGCACCATCGAGTTGGATGGAGTCGACGACATCCTTAGGAGCACAAGAATCTCTGGTTCGGCCCACAGGAGCTTCTTGACCAAGAGGGTGTTGAAGCAGAGAGACGCCCTGACAGTGCACCAAGTTTCAATCTTGGAGCGGGTTGTGCGCGAGCAGACTTTCCCGGTGCAAGATAGTGTCTTTGCGGGGCATTGCTTGGTTTGTATTTATGGGCGGCTGAGGTTTGGGGATAGCCAAGGCGTCCAACAAGAGCCGCAAGTCGATGGGGGCTTCTTCGAGGGTGGGACATCCACCCACAAGACAGACTCGATAGCAGGCAGGGCGTGCAGGGTCCTACCGGTGGTTGCCCCCGAGATTGGAGTGACAGGTGCAGCGTGGGCAGTGCAGCTGTTGAAACTCAGGGACCTCACAGGCCTGAGAGGCATGCCGGGCAGGCCTTTCCTACCGACACCAGTACCTGGAGGAGGCTGGAGTGCGGCCAGGCTGTCGACGGCAGAGGCAAGTGTTTGGCTATGCGAGATCCTGAGGAAGTACTCGTTGGGACCTGGTCAACTCAGCAACGTGGGAGCCCACTCGCTCAAGGCCACGGCGAAGTATATGGTCCCAGAGAAGGTGCGGAGGCTGATGGGTTATCATGTCAAGCCCAAGGACAAGTCAGTGCTAGTGTATAGCCGAGATGCCTTGGCTGCTGGCCTCGAGTACCTCACCAGGATCATCAACGACATCCAGCAGAAGAAGTTCCGACCCGATGCACCGAGGAACCAAAGGTTTGTGGGGATGGACCCCATGCCAAGTGACACCCAGGTGGAGCCGCAGGCGGACGACCAGGACGAGGACCTGCTGCCGGAAGTTGAGGAGAGGCACCAGATGCACGAGGTGCCAACCCCTGAGAAGATGTCATACCGCCTGGTCACCGTTGACCAATCATCAAGTGAAGATGAGGAGACGGTGGATGAAGGCCAAGAAAGTGAAGACGAGAGGAACCTGGAAGCAGTAGTCCACGGTAGACTTGGGCCTCCGAAGAAATCCAACACGGATTTGTATAGGCATGGTATGACGGGGACCATTCATCACGGCAGTACAGTTGCTGGGAAGTAGATGTAAAGTGTGTGAAGGGTACGTCAGGCAAAGGCCTGAAGTGACTGATCGAAGTGAAAAGACCAGAGGCAGCGGCTGAAGGTGGTAAGCTCTAGTCAAGTACAACAGAAGTCAATAAGTGAGTGGTCAGACATTCAGGGAAAGCAAAGTTAGTCCAAGTTGAAGTGAGAAGTGCTTCTTGTACGGGAGTAGTTTCCGGCAGTGACCGAACCCCGGGTAGTCCGGATCAGGTCAAGTTGGACGGGGACGTCCTGTCGATGGAAGTGCGCCGCAGCAGGACTGACGGGAGAGTGAAAGAGGCCGGTAGGACAGTCGGGTTTGTCATCTTTGCCAAGTGTTGAGAGTTGAACTGAAGTAGAAGATTGCAAGAGTGACAGGTTGGCAGTAATGTGAGTTGAGTGATTTGGCCGCAGTCAAGTGGTGGCTCCGAGGCACAGGCCAGGCGGTAGGTGAAGCTGAAGCCATGGCCACACTCACGGAGTCATCTGCAGTTTTCGAGGCAAAGTTGAAAGATTTGGGCCTCGATGGCTACAAAGATGACATGGCTCATCGAGGGTGGACGACCCTGTCCACCTTTGCTTTCGCAAGTAGTTGGGCCCCAGGATCAGGAGATGACACAGCATTCGTGACCCAGGTTGTGACACCGATCCTGGGGCGAGCAGACCATGCAGATCTGCCGAAACTCAGGAAGTTGTACCACGGGGCCTACACCGTGGTGGCGGCTGAGCTGAGGCAGAGATTGGAGGGAACCCAAGAGGCAGACGGTTCAAAAACCAGGAAACTGCCACCTGTGGAGCGCAAGACGAGGTGGGCGCAGCTGAGGGCGACGTATGCCCATCTCCAGATCAGTGACCAGCTGGAGCCAGCCCATCATGTGGTGGACAATATTCGATGAGGGTGGATGGAGAGCTCCGCTACATGGCGCCCCACGAGATCCCCACTCGTGACCAGGAGTTGCAGAACATCAAGACGGAAGAGCTGATCAGGAGAGATGCGAGTGGACACTTGCGAGCCCACGATGAAGCGAAGATGCCAGACGCTGACACCAGGACTGACCTGAGGTTGAGGCAAGCCTATACACGCAGGGGGCTGGCTCTGGAGGTGGCAGACGTGATGACGTTCACCATCCACGAGAAGCTAGTGGACAAGCTCCTTCAGGAGTACCAGAGGGAGCCCCCAGCAGGCTACAGCCAGGTGACGTTGAGCCAACTCACCGCAGCAGATCGCAGGGCCTGGAAGTTGATGAGTGAAGGCCCAATGGAATCGGGGTCAGACAGGAGACCTCGAGCTGATCCCGAACTTTGTACAGAACACTTTTTCGCCAACAGGCACTGCAGACGAAGTGAAAATGTGATTGGTAGTGCCACAAACGGTTGAGTTGTTTGCAGGGTCTTGCAAGTTATCCAAGTGTTTGAAGTTGCATGGTTTTTCGGCAGTAGGAATTGACCACAAGAAGTGTAAGAACCGAGTAGGCCCTTGTATAGTGCTAGACTTGTCCAAGCCAAGTAGTGCAAAGTTTATCAAGGAGAAGATCGACAGTGGGAACGTCTTCTTCATACCTATGGCTCCCCCATGCGGTATCGAGCACCCCAGCGGCCTGCCGGGGCTCAGTGGAGAGCAGTTGATTCGGGTTGAATTGGCAAACGCACGCTATGAAACAGCAGCAGAGGTCTTTAAGTATGGCCATGCCCGCAAAGTGTACGTGTTCATCGAAAACCCGAAGAACAGTTACATGTGGTGGGTCCCGTGCATTGCAGCTTTGTTCAACCTGGAGCGTGTCTTTTTCAGCACTTGTCACGTGTGCATGCATGGGGGAGATCGAGACAAACAAACGTCATTGCTACACAACTGCGAAGCACTCCGTCAACTCGAAGTGAGATGTGATGGAAGTCATACTCACAAAAGTTGGTCAGTCAGCAAGTCGCTCGATGGTGGCTGGAAGATGCTGGAAGTATGATACTGCTAGTGAGGCTGAGTACCCCCTGGTACTATGTCAGAGGATTGCAGTCATTATGAGCAAGTTAGCCATCGAACAGAAGTTGACAGCCGTCCAACTAGAGCCTCGAGCTACTTTTGAGGCGGCATGGGCGTTCGTCCAGTCAAGTTCAACTTGCAGGTCGCTCGTTCCCCTCCGGGACTCGTGTTCTGCACCATTTCCCATCCAATTCATGGGGAGAAACCAGGGATGGGGAAGGTGGAGATCAGCACAAGTGTGGCCGCTTAGTGTCTCTTGGCATCCCCATGACGCCAACAGAGGCAGCGAGGAGGGCGAGGGAGTTGCAACACCCCTTCGACACTTCTTTCCAGATGCCAGATCACATGCTGGATGCAATGTTTCAAGTGTTGACGAGAGGTTCGGAGGCAGTGCACAGACAAAGAGTAGAGAGGCCGGCTGAAGTGGTTGAAGTTGAGGGCCAAACAGTTAGAGGTGAGAGAGAGTGAACTCCATGCGTCGTTAGAGCCGAAAGTTGCTGAAGTGCTACAGACAAAGAAACGACTCTTGTTGGACGAGCTCGTCAGGCAGGTGGGGTACGGGGATGTGCATCTAGTCCAGGACCTGTGCAATGGAATGCCCATCACGGGAGAAGGTAGGTTTGCCCCGGAAGTGAAGCCTCCGTTGCTGGACAAAAAGGATTTGTGGAGAGGGGCCAAGTCAGCTCAGAAGGAGGTGATAGGCATGCAGGGTTCCACTACACGTAGCGAGAAGGGAAGTCGAGATGGCAGGTGAGATGGTTGACGTAGCCCAGGAAGTGTGGGATGCTACTATCAAAGAAGTCAAGTGTGGGTTGCTGGAAGGGCCGCTTTCTGCTGATCAAGTGAGCGAGAAGGTGGGGCCGTTGTGGACTCCCAGCAGGAGGTTTGGCATCATCCAGGGCCAGAAGGTTAGGAACATTGATGACTTGAGTGAGTTCTCCGTGAATCAACGCTACGGCCCTGGAGAGAAGCTGGACTTGGGGGGGTCGACGAGGTCGTGTCCCTGGCGGCAGCGTGGATGAGAGTGAGCGGAGATGGCGAGGACCAAGTGAAGGTTTGCCTCTCGTCGGGACTGACCTTGGAAGGACCCAGAGCTGAGGAGTTTCGGGGGAAGCCATTGGCCTTGAATGGTAGGTGCCTCGATTTGAAGTCAGCATACAAGCAGTTGGCGTTGGCTCCATCAGACCGGAGTAATGCTGTGATAGCGGTGCTAGATCCAGTGGATGAGGTTGTCAAGTACTTCGTGTCGTGTGTCCTCCCCTTCGGAGCAACGGGGGCGCTCATGGCATTCAATAGGGTGGCTAGGGCCTTGAGGGATATTCTTCAGAAGTTTCTGATGCTGCCAGTGGTGAACTACTTTGATGACTTCCCACACGTGGACATCGAGTCAATGGCGGTTCGGTCACAGGTGGTGATGGAGGAGGCCATGAGGATTTTGGGTAGGGGGATAGCAGAAGACCCAAAGAAGAGGACACCACCGTCGAGCCAATTTGTCGTGCTAGGAGTGGTCATTGACTTGAATCAGGTGAGCGACGGAGCAGTGGTGGTCAGGAACAAGCCCGACAGGGCGGATGAATTGGACCTGACCATCAAGGAGATAGGGAGGTTGAGATCTTTTCCCCCTTCACTGGCAGCCAAAGTGTACGGCAGGCTAAACTTTGCAGAGGCTCAATGTAGTGGAAGGTGGCTGGCCCCCATTTTGGAACCAGTCAAGCAGAGGTCGTTGATGAGCAAGTCCGTGAAGCAAGTCACAAGTGAGATCTCAGATGCACTGCCGTTGGCCGCGCGAATGCTGAGGACTGCTCCTCCTCGGAGCCTCCAAGCAGTGACCAAGGAACCACCGTGTGTCGTCTTCACAGACGGGGCCTATGAGGCGGGTGTAGCCTCGTGTGGGGCGGTTATCCTGTCTCCCAGGACCGAGAGGGCGATTGCATTCGGGTTCCGAGTGCCGCATCGATAGTAGATGAATGGCACGCACATGGCAATGAGCAAGTGATAGCACAAGCTGAGATGATGCCAGTCGTCATTTGCAAACAACAGTTCGAGCATCTCTTCAGAAGAGCTCGAGTCCTGTTTTTCATAGACAATGATGGGGTGAAGGAAGCGTTCGTTGCAGGCACTACTGGGTCTAAGGCCAGCAGAAGAATGCTAGTTGAAGCCATGGTTCAGGATGCCTGTAATGACAGTTTGACATGGTATGCACGAATTCCATCACCGAGCAATATTGCCGATGCACCGTCCAGGTTGAATTGGCAAGAGCTGGATCGCATGATTGTCTACGACTACGTGAAAGTGGATCTCGACTACGATAGATGGGGAAGATACACGGGTAGTCCTGAGTAGGTAATGAAGTAGGTCGAAAGGTTCTTTGTACAGTAAGTAAGTGGTCAGTTCAGATGCATAATTTTCCTATTCACTTGGCAGCATAGCTGCCCGGAAGCATCCCCAGTTCAGACGAAAAAGAAGAGAGTCTGGTGATAGTGCACAGCTTGTGTAGTGGTGAAAATTCTATATAAATATAAATCATGCATGTATATATATTGTATATACATAGATCATCATATATCACCAAGCGCGACCACTCTCCACGAGTGAAATGTGGCTGGTTTAGTACCAGGCACACAGGCCTGTATACACAAATGAACCCCGATGCAAAGTGAAAAACTACCGAAGAGGAATCCTCCATGAAGACAACGTGGGTCCAGCACCAAATGAGAGCAACTTGGCCAGCCTGCAAAGACACACATCTCCAGACCACAGTATGGCACCACAAATCGCCCCTTGTTGGAGTGTCCTTCCATCTGATTTCTGGAAGGTGGAGTGGAATGTGCCTGGGAAAGGTTGGGGCAGCAAAAGCATAGCCAGGCGAAGTTTCCGATAGTAATAGTCATAGTAGGTAGCAAGTTCTATGTCTGAAAGGTAAAGATGACAGCAAGCTCACAAAAGGAAACTGAACAGGTGTCATCGATCTTCCAACGCAGCTGGTTTAGCCGCTAGCCCATTCCTTTGCTGAACCATCCCACTTGGGTGGGATGGTGAGTTTTCTCGGAATCTTCGGGCACCAAGTGAATGTACAAATATCAATGATCCACGGCCATGAAGGAAACTTCCCGCGACAACTTGCAACCGTGAAGTCACCATCTGGATCAACCGAGACACCACTTGGTGCAAGGGTGACAGCCGGCAAGAGATCATCTACTTTAGCCAGCCACTGCTGGTAGTGCGGCACCGCATCATCGAGTGAAGGTGCTAGGTCCGAAAATTTTAGAGACATACGATGCGCATATTCTTTTGCAGTTAGATCAGCAGTGCGGTTGCACTCAATCTGTCTACTAAGCCGCTAAACTTTCGGAAATGAGAGAAACTGGCAAGTGTTCCAGCTTGTGTGCCGGGATCCATGAAAAAGAAAACGGCTGCAGATGTATGTTGGACCGTTCAGGTACAAGGGTGGCCAAAAAAGTCCACCACTCCACTCATCACTAAATGGGTGGTGCGCAAAGACAAGGATGCTTGTTCAACAACTGCTTTTCAATCACTGAAAATATGGACCCGAAATGGAGTCAGGATACAGACTTGAAGGCGACAAGGCGTTCAACTGAAGTCTGTTGACTGTGCCTTTCTTTTGCACTTTGTCGGAATCTACGATCGCATAGGCAGCTGTTGGTTGAAACATGTTGAAACATTGATGGACCCTGAGAACTGATCCATCTGTCATCTGTCCACAGTTCAATGCTGCAGTCAGGTTGAAAGACTGGCGCACGCAAGTCAGACACCCGAAGGGTGAGGAGGCGTCTTTTGCAAAGAACTTTGGGTGTTCGACAATGCCTGTGATGGAGAAGTTTCCACCAAGTTCATGCAACACTGGTGCACCAACAAGATTGTGCGACTGCTCACGCTCATGAACTAGATGAGGCATTATAGCTTTTTTTGGTGGTGAGTGCAGCACCAAAGCCCAGAGGGCCGCAGGCCAGTCTATTTGTGGTTATATGAGGGTGGCGTTGGCATATCTACGTTTTGTGAAAGACCTGTGCGCGGGTGGGAGCAGCTGTATCGGAAAGTAGTCTGCAAGGACGAGGGTTGGTACATTGCCTCTTTAGCATCTCGCCTAGGTTGGGGAGGCTACAAAGCATGTTTGGGTACTTAATCATTGACAGCTACGTGCTGCAGGTAATTAGATGATGAATGATGGTGCCATTGTGCCGGGATTGATGTTTATTCCCAAACAGCTTTGCTGTGAGGGGTTCTTGCAAGAAAAAGATCCTGGACCAAGATGAGTTCTGGCCTTTTGTTTCCCTTTTTCTTCCTTTGCCCCCCGAACTCTTCTGGATGCTGATTCTGCTTTGTCTCCCTTGCCTCCCATGGCTCTTGTAGACGCTGGGCTGAGATGATTCTACAAGCCCTTCGGCCGCTCCGCAGCCACCCCTCGCCCTGGACATGCTGCCTTGGACCGGGTGGGCTCTCTCTGGACGTCCAGTCGTCGCGTGGCATTCCTAGCGGTGTGTTTGCGGCTGGCTGGTCCCAATTCCAGCGCCGATCCCAAGCTTTGGCGCATCGCCAAGACACCATTGACTACTTGAACCTTGCAGAGTTGAACACCTTTTGCACCAGGAGCACGCCGGTGAGGGGTTCAACCAGAGCTAGGGCTGGTAGGGGAGAAGATGGGTTCACGATGTTTTCCCAGGGCTTTCTTCCTAGCAAAGGGCAAGCATACCCCCTCGGCAGAGAAGTGTTTCCAACATGTCCAACACCTTTGGTGACAGGCTTCCAATGGCCGTGATGCAGATGATGCCGCGCAGTTTGGTGATTAAAAGCAGGTTGTAAATTTACGCAGCCCCCGATTTTGTACCCTTGCCATGCCCCGTGTTCAGGCTTCGTGTGATATGCTTGACTGCGCTGGGGGGAAGCAGTAGCGCCTAGCTAGCTTACATTGCTTGCAAAGACAGCAGCCCACAACGCAAAAGATGCGAGACCCATTGCATTGACTGACGTCTTAGGCAAGGTAGTCTTGCAAGTCATTGTTGATAAGGTCCGTACGCAGCGAATTCCACTTTTGGAGTTCGTAATTCGTGATTCGTGATTTGTTTCGTGATTCATGATTCGTGCTTCCCAATTGATTTTCCCTATTATATAAACAGTCTTTTCAAAGGCAGTTTAACTATAAAACCTCCAGCCGCGTGATTCGTGATTCGTTTCGTGATTCGTGCTTCCCCATTGAGTTTCCCTATTAAGAAGCCTTTTCAAAGGCAGTTTTAACTAAAGATAGATTGTCTCAATTGATTTTCCCTTTGAAAAAGCCTTTTCAAAGGCATTTTTAGTTAAAAAAAATTTCCAGTTAATTTTTCCTTTTACAAAGCCTTTTCAAAGGCAAGTTTAATTGAAAAATTGATTTTTCCTTTGAAAAGGCCAATTCTAACTAAAATTACACCGTAGACCCCAAACAGGTTAGACAACAACGAAGCATTCCCAAGTCCACTTGTTGAGACATCATCAAGAAGGGAGACAAGACGGACAGAATGACAAACAAGAACGGAGACAAGAAGGGAGACAAAAGGAAACAGAGGGAGACAAAACGGACACAATGACCACCAAGAAGGGAGACAAGACCGGAGAAAAAGGGAGACAGAAGGGAGACAAGACGGACAGAATGAACCCAATGACCAACAAGAAGCGAAACAAGAAGAAAAAAAGGGGAACAGAAAGGAGACAAGACGGACACAGTGACCAACAAGAACGGAGACAAGACCGGAGACAAAGGGAGACAGAAGGGAGACAAGGCGGACACAATGACCAACCAGGACGGGAGACAAGAAGTGAGACAAAAAAGAAACGAGACAAGACGGACACAATGACGAAGGGAGACGAGACGGACACAGTGACCAACAACAATTGGGGACAAGACTGGAGACAATGACCAACAAGTAGGGAGACAAGAAGGAAGACAAAGGGAAACACAAGGGAGACAAGACAGACGCAGTGACCACCAAAAAAAGGAGACAAGACCGGAGACAGAAGGAAGACAAGGCGGACACAATGACCAACAAGAAGGGAGACAAAAGATAACAGAAGGCAGACAAGCGGGACGCAGTGACCACCGAAAAGGGAGACAAGACCGGAAACAAAGAGGACACAACGACCAGCAAGAAGGGAGAAAAGAAGGGAGACAAAAAGGGAGACAAAAGATAACAGAAGGGAGACAAGACGGACACAGATACAAGACCGGAGACAAAGAAAGAATGAAGGGAGACAACGGAAAAGGGCGGACACCAGCAGTGACAGACCTGGGAGACAAATGAATAGAATAGAAATGCTACATGGCCAACGGAAAAGCGCGGGCACCAGCAACGACATAAACAGACCTGCGAGACAAATGAATAGAAATGCTACATGGCCAGCCGAAAAGGGCGGACACCACCAGTGACAGACCTGGGAGACAAATGACAGACCTGGGAGACAAATGAATAGAAATGTTGCATCGCCAGCGGAAAAGGGCGGACACCAGCAGTGACAGACCTGGGAGACAAATGAGTAGAAAACCAGTGACAGACCTGGGAGACAAATGAATAGAAATGCTACATGGCCAGTGGAAAACGGCGGACACCAGCAGCGACCTGGGAGACAAATGAATTCAAATGCTACTTGGCCAGCCGAAAAGGGCGGACACCAGCAACGACCTGGGAGACAAATGAATAGAAATGCTGCATGGCCAGCGGAAAAGGGCGGACACCAGCAGTGACAGACCTGGGAGACACATGAATAGAAATGCTACATTGTAGCTACATGGCCAGCGGAAAAGGGCGGATGCCAGCAGTGACACAAAGGGCGGACACATCTTAAGAAAGAATTGAGCCTTGTCCGCGGCAATTTTAACTTAAAACAGATGTTCCTAATTGATTTTCCCTGTTTCAAAGGCAATTTTAATTGAAGAAACTAAGTTGATTCTCCCTTTGAAAATGCCTTTTCCAAAGCAATTTCAATTTAAAAGGATTGTCCTAATTGATTTTCCCTTTGAAAAAGCCTTTTCAAAGGCATGTTTAATTTTAATTATACCCGCGTAGACCCCAAACAGAGCAATGTTCAAAAATGAGATCTCCGAACAATATGGCCAGCAGTCTTTCCTAGAGGAAGAAAACTGTAGTCCACCATGTAGACGCACATACAAAATTCAAAGGGAAAGCATTAAAATTCTATTTTTCATTGACTTTACAATGGGACGCCGTACAAGGGCTAAAACATGAAATTTATGGATCCAGGTTGTGACTCAGAGCATCCAGAGCTTACTGGGAGACAAGTGGGAGACAAGTGT